GTTATTTATTTAAGATTATTATTTTTATTTTGTAGTATTATACTTGGGGTAGTGATTATTTGGTTTGGAGGTGACTGATCTAAGCAGTGCCAGCAATGTCAGCTTCTTTACAGCAGTTGTACAAAGATGTAAGTGTGAAATTGGTTGAGGTGTGCCGAGACAGCTAATCATCCATCAGGCACACATATTCAGGATGTCTACCTCCATAGCAGACTCATGTGTCTGCAATAGACCGCCCGACAATACTATCTAATGCACGACACCAATCAACCCGATCGTTCGTCACATGACAGCCCTGTGACATACTGCTCTAGTTCTGTCAAATTAGCTCCCCCATCAACCAATTGCAGGCATTGTTTCTATAGTAAACTCGACAATCTGACATTATTCTGAGACACGACCGTTGCCTGGGTCTAGATCACAGCTGGTCGCACTGTTCAGGTTGATGTAATGGGTCACGTCAAGTCTGATCGTGTCAGCGTCGATGGTGAGCAGGATTATAAAGACGTGCGCGCAAGTGTGTGCACGCACGTACAGTCAAACATGTTAGCAGTCACCTCTCTAGAACGGCCACCTATCTATAAAGGACACTTGGCATTTACTTGCGGTTGGACTGTATATATGGCGTTTAGACGTCAACAGCCGTGTCCGAGTGATGCACGGTACGCTACTGACGATGTGACAATTGCCGTACGCTACGATATACGTGAAGCGATGATGACGATAACACTTGCACTGAGTGCGAGCAGCAGAACATCGAAAGCCTCTCTCATCTTGGAATGGAAGGTGGCATGAGTGAGTTCCTCGTACAGATAGATGCCGATGCTGCTGATCGCAATACACCTGTCAAACACAAGCGCAGCTGACATGTACACACATGCATCCACACACATGCACAAGCACACATCCACGTATGTACACACGCACACGCATATGCGATTGGGGGGGGCGCATCAATATTAGACACACCATCGTCTTAACAGATAGTGAGTAGATTCTAGTCTTTTATGTGCTTATATTATTATTGGTAGTTATCTTATTGGTAGTTATATTATGGTAGGTTATATTATTGGTATTTATAGTTCAAAATGAAGAAATGAAATATCTGTTAAATGCAAAATAAATACTGATAAGAAAAACCATTGCTAGTGTTACTGTTTCCATGATTCGTAGTTGATTTACTGTGACATGCACCACATCCTATTTGTTTTTGTTTTTTAGGTATTCTAATATAAATAAGGCACGGAGTGTGAGAGTCAGAGAGAGAGAAAGAGAGAGCGACCGAGAGACGGAGAGAGAAAGAGTGATCGAGAGACAGACAGAGAGAGAAAGAGTGATCGAGAGACAGAGAGAGAGAGTGATTGAGAGACAGAGAGAGAGAGTGATTGAGAGACAAAGAGAGAGAGCGATTGAGAGACAGAGAGAGAGAGCGATTGAGAGACAAAGAGAGAGAGCGATTGAGAGTCAGAGAGAGAGAGAGAGAGAGAGAGAGAGACAGCGAGCGATGAGAATAAGGTGAGATGGGAGTTCAGTGAGCGTACCTAGCCAGTCCAGCTGGCTCCTTGCGTCCACATCTCATCAGCGCGTTGATGATGTTGTCCTTGGCGTGCTCACGCGTGAGCAGCTCGACACCGGGCGTGCCGCTGTCAGCGACGCGTGTCTGCAGCACGGGCATCGAGCCGTACAGGTTAGCAAAGCAGATGAGAGAACCGAGCAGTGACACGGCTTCGGTCTTCGGCTCCTGCAAGAGCGGAATAACATCGTCACTGATGTGCTGTCGGCCAGTTTTCATTCTCACCTAGCTTCAGCCTCAGTATCAGTCACAGCTTTAGCATCGGTCACAGCTTCAGCATCAGTCACAGCTTATAGCGGCTCCTCGTCCGGAACTGGTCGCGTAGTCACGGCCATTTATGTGTGTGTATACTTGGTATATATGTATGTTAGTATATTATAAATGTGTTCAAAAGGTTTCGTATTGGAAACGTGATTTACAGAAAATAGGGAAAATAAGGATCAAACGGGGCTACAAATGTGTAGAAATGAATGGGATTTGAACCTAAATGTTTTCTAGATAGCTAAACCTTATGGGATTTGAACGTAATGTTGATGACATCATAAATATACTAGCCAATCAAATGTGGTGTATGGTAAAATAGCGGAAGTGGATACTCTGCTGTATACGGTTAAATATCCACTGCCCAACAATTAAGGCCTAAAAAAGACATTTGTTTCCGCTAACAAGCTGAAAAAAATTGGGCACGGTAGGCAGGCAAAACTTATTTTTTATCAATTTTTTTTTGTATTTTTAACAATACTTGTTTTATACGTATAACAGCCCATATAATGACTTCAAAGTCAAATCAATGCATTCACCGATCGATATCACGTTGAGATTTTGTTTATTAAAAAAAAAAGTAATTTACTTCTTTTTTTTGCCGATCACAATAAAAAGTTTTGACACGCCGGTTTAAAATGGACTCTGTTGGGTTAGCGGAAACAAGCGTGTGTTTTTTAGGCCTAACCAATCGCAATGATTGGCAGGAAGATTGCAATGAGTCATTGAGTGTCCAATTCACATTGCTGTGATAGCAACTGGTGTTGGATTCAAGTTAACCTGTTTTTCGTTTGTTACTCAGTGATGTATAGATCTGCATCTCAGTGGTAATATCTGCATCTATAATTGAATTACATTGCCACGGCTACTTGTGTTTTCTGACTATATATCTGTGGAAATGATTATGAATTTTGTAGTCAGTACAGTCGTTAGGCCCACAGGCACTTGAAGCGTTTCAATAAAATATAATGCTAACTAAATACGAAATCTATTTAGGCCCTACTACAAAATTCTTAATGTTTCTATAGTATAGGCCTACTCTCTTTCACCTATTATTGCCGATAGTTTCCTACCATT